CTTTCTGTCTTTCTTTCAATTCAAGGCCCAACTGCAGTTGCTCTGAGCATGTATGTATGTGGTATCAGAAGTACTGGACTTTTTAGCCGGAGCATAGATGGCTCTACACCATACGTTCTAGCAAATAGAAATGCTGATGTTCATTATGTATATTTAACTTCTCCTGAACATACTTGGAAATATATAAGTATACCTTTGATCCATAATGGAAAACACATGAGATCCCAAGGCACGTCACTGCTTCATCCGGGCAGATCACCCAAGTCTGATTGTGAAAGCAATAACCGGGGGATCTTTTCATTGCAAATCCTGTCTGTTTCAAGTTATTGGTGGTAGTGAAGCTTTTAGGAGTTCTGGCAGATTTCTTACATGAATTATTAAATGGAATTAACAGTAACTTCTGGAATCTTCCACTCTTAACTATTGCATGTTTCCACATATGTAGTTCTGCTTAAGTAGTCACACAGAAGAAAAAAACATCGATACAATAAACAAATTATGAATTACAGAAATCCAGAACACGGAAAGAAAACTAAGTCTAGACTGTTGCAGTCTGCTTTAAGTACAACTATTCCCTTCATTCCAAACCTTCATATTTACCAACACAAATCTTTATTTTGGCAGCACGTCATGGTTTAGGAGCCACAGAGATCGTCTTTGGAGGCCTCAGTGCGTTTTTCTTTTCTCCTTCTCCTCTTCTTCTTCTTCTTCCAATGTTTGTTTATTTTTGAGAGGGAGAGAGAGAGAGAACATGACCAGGAGAAGGGCAGAGATAGAAAGGGAGACAGGGAATCCCCAGCAGGCCCCATGCTGTTAGCGCAGAGCCTGATGCGGGGCTTGATTTCACAACGGTGAAATCATGACCTGCGCTAAAATCAAGAATAGGACACTTAACGACTGAGCCACCCAGGTGCCCATCAATGTGTTTTTCAGGAGAACTGTCTGTAGATCTTCAACTTGGGAAATCCCTGGATAGTAAGAAAGGTATTATCTAAATTTGAGGATCTCATGAAGGGTCTAGAGGAAGCATCTTTAGGTGGAATAGAGTAGTATCTGGCGTGTAGCTACAGACATATTAAGAACATGTAGATTGTAATTCACATAATTATACGTGAATCAGGAATTCAGATTTGCAAAGGAGGGCTGGCTTGCTTTTATCTCTTATTCCTACCAAAAGCTAAAGGGTGGCTCCCAACCTTTGGGTGTCTGCACTTAGGGAGTTTTCATCTGGGTTCCCAGCCTATATATGGGCGCCAAGCCAGACATTCTAAAGGAAGACAACTTCATTTTAGCGGCAAACCCTCAGACCCACGCATCTTCCCATGACTCTGCCTTTCTCCGATTCTGAGCTAGTGTAGGCAGAGCACGAGGTGCCGAGGACAAGCTCCGAAGGGGCGGTGGGGACCATCCTTTTCGAACAGCGTTTGTAGCTGCCAAGAGTAGCCAACAAGCACCAGATTTATGTGCACTTTGAAAGAAGCACCTTCACCATTGGCTTTTTGAGCGGCGCTGTCGCTAGGGAGCGGCGGGCAGGGCGAGCACAGCCTGGGGAGAAGCCCGGGCTGTTTGTTCCTGCAAGGGGGAAAGGGGACGCACACAGTCGGGCGCGCGGACACACACGCACGCACACGCACGCTTGCCGCGAGTTCGAGCCCCGCAGCCCCCCACCGCCCGAGGGCGCCCCCGGCGCCGCGCCAGGCGGAGAAGCATCCGCCTCCTGGCTCCTGCTGCTGCTGCTGCTGCCGCCCAGAGGAGAGAGGAACCTGGAACCTCTGCCTCGAATTTCCCCCGGCGCCGCGCGCTGCGGAGAGCGGCGGGGGTGGGCGCCAGGAGGAGAACGCGATGAATGAGTTCTCCCCTCGCCTCGGAGTTGACTGAGTTGGCGGCGCCGCGCCCGGGCTTCCGGCTCTCGGCGCCCCACGCGCTCGCGGCTCCCGGGGCTGCAGCCCACGCCCGCGGCCGGGGCTGTGCCCGCCACGCCGGGGGAGCCGAGGCTCTGGAGCTCCTGTCCCGGCTCCAGTCCGGGGGAAAAAGGAAGGTTGTCCCCTGGCCCAGGCGCACGGCCGCGCGCTCTCCCGCACTCTCCGCGGCCCCTTCTGTCTCTCCATGGCGTCTCATCAACAATCCCGGATCCAGGCTTACCTGGAGAAGAACAAGATCGGTCCCCTGTTTGAGGTAAGGCGCTGTGGAGGAGGGCGGTCCCGTTTGTATCTGGGGGAAGGGGTTCAGAACACCCGGAGGGAAGGAGGGACCGCGAACAAATGCGCGGGAGGGGTGGCCGTGCGGCCCCAGTTCACTGGCATTCGCTCTGCCCGGGCCAGGGGGTCCGGAAACGCGGCCGGGCGGGCACCTTGCCGGTTACCTGGGCGCGGACAGGTGAGCTGGAGAGGGCCCAGCGTCAGTCTGGCAGGGGAAGTTTGAGCGGTCTGACTGTCCTGAATCTCTCAGCCTTATGCACAGGACCCGGACAGGCTGAGACCCACAGATGCACACACTTAGACTGTCTTACACGCTCACACTTTCTTCCTGGAATTTACACCGTATTGCATGTTGGATTTTTTTTTTTTTTTTAATGTTGGCAGTAGTAGAACCCAGAAAGGTGGAAGAGGCGCTTAGCAATGGGGGAGACTGTGGTTAACTGGGAGAAAACTGAACTGGTAAGGAGTAGGCTTCGGTAGATGAAGGCGCCTTGAGTGAAATTGTCAAACTGAGACGCTGACATTGATCTCTGGATGAAGGAAGAGTCCTGTGCATTGCAGACCCTACATGTGTTAGGGTGAGAAAGGGGCGGAGAAAGATTCAGGAAAAGCATACACGTATTTATGAGAGGAGACGTGTAGCTCTGAGCTGCTTTCTCTCGCCATCAAAGAACCGATGACAGAAATACAGGAGGAGAAAGGAAGAGCGGGAGGACAAGAGAAAAAGAACCAGAGACTGAACTGGGCACTGGCAAAGCGTCCCGGCGGTAGCCAGCGCGCTGGGCAGATGCTAGTTCCCGCGGGGAGGAATGCCCAGGGTCCGTTCCCAGCCCGGTCCCACCATCCAGCTGGGCACGGGTGGGAGACGATCGGACGGACGTGGGAGGCTCGAGATCCTCCCTCCCCCACCAAAAGCAGCTGTGGTCACTATTGGCGGTTTACGTGTCCGCGGCGTGGGAGTAAGGCTGTAACGCGGCAGGGGGAAAAGATAGAGAATGGGGTTGTTCCCTAGTACTGAGGAGAAGAGAATAACTGCAGAGAGGGGTGGGGGAAGCGAAATAATGCCCTAGCACAAAAAGGGAGAGGTGGACAGGGATGTGATCAGATAGGTCTTTTCTCTGGGGAGGATGGGTTTCAGATAACCAAGATTTGCAAGATCTCAAGTTTTTCTGCCCAACTTTAAGTTAACGTTGTAGTGTCTTGGGAGCTATGGCTACTGTTTCAACTGAAACTCGTTGTATAGAGTCATGAAGTCCTATAATGCATGTCTTGATTCTTGTTTCTGCCCAAGTGTTAGCAGAGGAAGTCCATGTAGAATTGCTGGTGCAGCTAGGTTGTTTTATTTTATTCTAATGATTAGAGACCATGCCTAGTTCGATATCTATCTGTATAAAAAGCGGAAGCATAATAACACTTCGTGACACAGTGTATTAATTGTGTTAAAAGAAACATGAAATACTTTCACAGTGTTTCTACGCCCCTAGAATATAAAGTATAATTTACCAGGGAGATTAAGTGAGTTGTTTGTTTTAATAGATTTGTTAATTTATTTTAAAATTGCTGAGACTCTCTCCAAATGATAATGATAGAGTTTGGAATATGTGTAAACTTTCTACATAATTAGGAAATAAATCCAACTTGATTTTTATCAAGTGCTTATTAAAAAAAACTAGCCCTCTAGATAGTTCTGCATTAATGAATTTTAAGTGAAGACGAAATTGTCTCATAAAATCTTAAGACCTCCTCACCAAAAAAAAAAAAAAAAAAAAAAAAAAAAGACAAAATTATATGCTATGTATTTTATTGATTTTTTTGGGTGACATATTACCTACATCCCTATTAGCTTGGATTGCAGTGGTGAGTAATTTTTAAGGGTTGATATGTGCTTTAAACAATTGAAGGGAGAAAACAGCTAAGTTTCTGCTTCTAAAAGCAGGTTTGTATGCAACAATTTTGATCATAACAGAGCTTAGTTTTGAATAGAATTATATATACTTCACAAAATTAGAAAATCTCACTAGCCTGTAGCGTCTGTCTCATGCTAGAGAGAATATAAAATGTATAGTGTTCATCTGGCATTCTCAAAGCCCCCAGGGCTTTGGTCAGTGCTTCTCATGAGAACTGCTTCAGGAGATCAAGGAGGAGCCCAGGAACCTGGACTTAGTAAGAAGTGGCACAAATGATTGTTACATATTTAATTTCTGGACCACATTGTAAGAAACGGTGTCATAAGTTAAACTCTTGTGACTCTTAAGTTTTAATATCTGTGCTATGTTGTGATTTTTTTGTGCCCTGGAGTTGGTGGACATAGGCTTACTTTAGTTTTGAAAATATACAAGACCTGAAAATGTGTTCCCTTTACAGATTTTCTAAGTTAGGAATGTTTTAAGAAAACTTACTGGAGTAAAGCACCTTAAAGAGAGCACAGGAATATTGTTTAAAAAAAAAAAGCAACGATAACATATACTGGTTGAGAATATTTGTATCTTGTTATTTTTTTAACTATACAGCTTAATTACCTAATTTAGTTACTTAGTTTATTTCTTAACTTAGTTTATTTGCTTATTTCTAAATTTTATCACTTGAGAAGTTTATAAAGCTATATACAATATGGTATTGTGAAACTATGTTAGATGAAAATTAATCTTGTTTCCACGTGATTGAAGGTATAAATTTATATTGTCTTTAAATATGATTTAACATGCTTAGAGGCATTACAAAACCATGTCTAGAAATCATTGCATTAGAGCTGGGTAATGATATTTTAATTAAATAATATAAAGAGGTAAAGTGAATATGGTAATAATGACATATCCCACAAACTCTTGAAATTTTTAATACTTTTAGTATTCTCATTGGCTTATTCAGGATAGGCTAGTATCCTGATAGCCTAGGCATCAATCTATGAGGAATGCTTGACATCGCTTCAATAAATTAGCACTAGAATCCTATTAATAAAGATTTCCACATGTAACTCCTTACTTAACTGGCGAGATATGAAATGGTTTGACTTTCACCAAAGTATGGTATTTTGTAGCACACGTAGGCAAGATTCATGGCACAAACACAAGACTTACTTCAACCAACTGCTTAATAGTTGAGGAGCTTGACAGTTAAAACTTTTGAAATTGAATAATCAACTGGCATATATCTGCTTTTTGGGATCAAGTGATCTACTTTGTCTATGTTGTAAGTAGTTAAACTTCATTCCCAAGAAATTGTGTATGTGGAACATCACAGTAAATTCTTTATTTTCAACAGAGAGAAGTTTATACTTTTCAGTTTCTCCCATTTCCATGAAATAAACAGAATAATTATTTGAATATTATTGGTTGGAAGGGTCCTCAGGGCAGTCATATATCTTGGTTTAGGACTGATTATGCTTACAAGAGAGTGAAATCCTAAACTATTAAAACTCAGGATAATGGGGTCCCCATTAAATCTTCATAGAATATTTAAATCTCTGTGTATTCACTACAAATTCACTACATTTTTTTCAAATGTGGTCTGACCCACTCCAAGTAGAATGGAACCACTTTATCACCTTCTCTGTTTAGTTCAAAGTACCTCTACTCACATGGGCTAAATTTGTGTTAACTGACTTGACATATATGTTATGAAGTGGACTCATATCAAATGTGTGGTCAACCATCAGCTTGCATCATTCATACAGTTACTACTGCGCAACTTGTTTTTTTCTGATACCCCTGGCCTACATATTCCAGCCATGTCTGCAACCTTGAACTCAAGTTGGCCTGGAGATTCTCAGGCAGTGGCCTGGCAGGATCAGGAGATTTGTTATATATAAGGTAGAGGACTGTTGAGAGAATAAGTAAATATATTGAAAATAATGCAGTCCAGTTTTCTTGCTGATAGAGACGGGATTCACAAATACAAAAAGGAGAAAATGTAGAATGCACCCTGCAGTGTTGGATTGAAATTGGAGGTACTGGTGTATCTCATAACTTCAAGAATAGAAATAGATATAAATGTAATAGAAGTAAATATGGATTTGTATGTAGTAACATATACATAAGTATATATGCCCACATTTATTTCCTTACTCTGTCTACTGTGATGGCCTAAAAAATAGCAACATCTCAGTAGCAGTGAGCACACCAAGTGACAGATTTTGAGTTCTAAATACCATTCTCCATCAAGTGGAACCAGATATCCTTGGAGAAATGGTTGATCCTAGGCTTGAGTCTGGGAAAGCACAAGATAAACCTGGACCATCTTATGCCAGGGAATAAGGAAGTGGTCAAAGAATTATAGGAACATGTCAAAAGCTTGAAGAGACTCCTGTTAACTAAATCTGGGGCACTTTGAGATTCAAAGTATGATAGTAACAGATTATCATACTATAAAATAGGAGTATTTTATTCCACTACAATATATTGGGATACATGAATGTATCTAATTTATGGGGAGAAGATAAAGCTTTACTTTATAGTAGAATGCCAATTAATAAGAGTAGAAGTGGTGCTGGAATTAGAGAATTACTACTTGGCAACCACTGAGCAATAATTGAGGCAATAAACATTAATTGTTGCTAAAAACTAATGGGTGAAAGTTGGAGGAGGAATGAGATGTTTACCTAATGTCTAGTATCTTTCCACAAAGTAGTTGTTAATTACAAAGGGAAAAGTAACTTTATAGTGAAGAAACCAGGCAGACTGAACTTTACTCAAGTGATGGGACAAATCAATATTGTGTGCTCCTGATAGTATGCAGCTAAAACAACTTTAATTCTTTAATATTTATGCCAATTACACATGACCTGAGCTGAATAATGAGAAAATATCTGATAATTTTGATAGGGAAATTCTGATTTTCTGATGTGTTCAATAATGTATAAAGTCATGACAGTCAAGGAAAGTCTCAAACTGATGGGACAATACAACTAAGTGCAAAATATGGTCCTAGAACTGATATGTTCACTAGGAAGGACATTATTAGGAAAGTTTTGCAAAATTT